AGTGAAGAACATGGTCACTATTGAAACTGGTTCAGAAGGTGTGCTTGGTGCGGAGGGCTAGGGAGAGGGACTTAGATACAGATACCCAGCAGTGGGGCGGGAGCAGGCATGCCCAGCAGAAGGCACTGCAGAAGCATGGTAGAGGGGGAGGCACATCTGGAGGACCAGATTGGGGTGATTACAGGTCTGGGGGAAAAGAATGGGAGAGATTCATAGAAGCGTTGGGGGTAAGCGAAGGAACCTGGGGTTTATCCTCAGATAGTGAGGCCAGGAAAAGCTTCAGAGCAACGGAAGGGCAAATTCAGGCCTGACCATACTTCAGAAAGGACCATCTGGAACAAGAGCAGCAAGGCTATGCTGCAGAGGTAGTACAGGGCCAGAGGGGCAGGCCCCGGGGGCTGGACCAAGGAGCACAGGAGAGGCTGCAGGGAAGCCCAGGACAGTAAGGGCACTCTGTAAGCTATGATGCTTCAAACAATATGAAATATAATGTGGACCCTCTGCTGTTGATCAGGACTGAAAACTCAGCTTTATTTCTAGATCCATTGGACTAGAAGCTTCACGAGGTTAATTTTTTTTTTCACTGCTGTATTTCAGTGCATAGTACTTAGCACACAGTAGATACTCAGTAAATGATTGTTAATTTAATTAAAAACTTTTAAAGATGTCCTGGTCTTTCTGACTGACCAGATGCTTTGAGAATATTCCTTGGTGCTGACCCTTCCCTGCAGCTGGGACCGCCTTGGTCTTCCAAATTCCTTTTGGCTGGTGAGGAAGTCTTAAGCCAGCTATCTCCTGACTTTCCTTACCAAATAATCCAGCACAAAGCCTTAGTCCTGTTCAGCCTCGTCTCTCTCTTGCCAGTCCATGTCTTTATTCCAGTCCTCTGGCACAAGTCAGTGTTGTTGACAGGGGTTGGTGCCTCAGAGGGACACTTCTGGGTGTGTGGGCAGGAGGGGGCAGCCAAGGCTGGGAGCTGCCCTCCTGGGGAAGAGGTGGCCCAGCCACTCACTGATCATGCTTCCCTTTACTCACTCATCATCAAACGACTTGTCAATACCTGCTTCAGTCTCCTCCATCCCAGACTCAGGTGGGCCACAGAGCCATGTGCCCTATAATTGCATGAAATCTTCAATACCTCGCCCAACGTAAGTGGGCCCCCAAAGTCTCCAGTATGATGAGCTCCTAGCCTAACCAGCAGGGTTGAAGTCAGGGAGAACTTCCTGGAGGAGGAGGCATCTGCATTCAGCCCATTTCCTGAGGACCATGGGGAGCTTTAAGGCTTCATGGAGGAGAGTTACTTCAAAGCTTTGTATTGGCCTCACCATCATAAAATGTCTAGATTTCCTCATATCACTCTTTTTCCCCTTAATCCTTTTGTAATTTAATTTTTAATATTTAGATTTTCAACACATCTTGACTTTTTAAAAAACTGTGAATAATTTCATACGTACTCAACAGTAGAGAGGATAGTATAGTAAATGCACACGTGCCCGACACCCAGCTAGGACTCCTTCACTTTTGGGAACAGACACAGAGCTGCCAAATTTTAATTCTATCAAGTAATGATTTTTTTTTAAAGTGCCATTTACTATTACCATGATTTCATAAAAGAAAGGACATTTGAACACACATATACACTCAGATAGAAAAGACTAGCTTAGGATAAAGAAAGAGGCTTTAAATGGAATGAGCTCTCCTCGAGGACAAAGACCCCCATTGTCTTTCCTTCCGTTGTGTCACCAGAACTCAGTCCTGATCCGAGGCTGGAGTGAGGCTCCAGAAG